TGGGGATAATTTCTTTGCCTGTTTACTGCACGCTTGTTTCTTTTCATTTTGGGATCTCACACAGGAAAGGGTCTGGATACCCTCGGGTTAAGCAGGTGAATGCTACCAGGCGCGTCCCCCGGTTGTGGACAGGGGGATACCTTCACCGTAGAGGGTTAGCTGTGAATAAGTTGTGGTATACCGCAAAAAATAAGCAGTCGGGAACAAACAGCGGTGGTACTATCAGGGTGTGGTGGGTTTCAGGCTGGTCACCTGGCTCCTGTTTAAAAGCCACATAAGTCCGATGACGGTGTCGTGACAAAGGTCGATGTGACTGACCTTTTAAAGCTAAAGTCATTGACTCACTTCCGAGCCAAGGGTTCACTTCCTGCTGCCTTGCAGTTCGCACTTGATTGTGCAAAGGCTAGAGGTGCGCCCTCAAAATAAAAACCGCCGAGTGACTCTGGGGACGTTTCTCGTACCAAACTTCTAAGTGGTGGTGATGGCGCAGTGGTTTAGTCGCTGTCTCAGGCTTGCTTTGGACCCTATGGTCCGAGGTTCGAGACCCACCACCACCCCCCAACTTTGGTGGTAGGCAGCTTGGCTGTCGTCCGGTTCAATACCACGCCTAACCTATCGGGACCTTATATGATTCACCACTTCAAGTCCCGGGGCTTAGGTTACCGGTTTCCATCAATGAACAGCAGGTTCTCGTGACAATGGGGTTCGCCCCGACTGCTGTTCATCACACGAAAGTGTGTAACAAAAAAATTACCTTCATGATTATGTATTCTGCAAGCTTAGTTACCCATGCTACGGCGTCCCCGGTAAGCGACGCGCCGGGCGCTCCTCCAGTGGTCGAGGTATCAAGAATGCGAACTGGACCTCCTCAATCTCTCCGACTTAGAAAGCACCTTTACGTGGGATGCTGGAACGTCAAGACCCTCTTGGACATTGGGAGTCAGGCAGTGACTATGCGCATTACACGACTACCGCGTAGATTTTGCATGCTTATCCGAAGTACAATTAGCTGGCTTCGGCTCACGTAGCATCAATGTTCCCGGTTCTTATAATCACTATTTTTACCATNTTTACCATAGTAGCTCAGAAATTTCAGGTCAACAGGGAGTGGCGTTAGCGCTGATTCAGCACGCCAACGCTGCCTTACTCTCTTGGGAACCAATATCGTCAAAGATCGCTGTCATCATCGTCATCATCGTACAGCGAAATACAATGAAGTGAACTTCACTGATCGCTGTCACGCTGTAGCACGGTTCAAAGGTAATCCCACCAACCTCACCGTGGTAGCAGTCTACGCCCCCACTCTACCATCCGATAGCATAGCGAAGGACGAGTTCTATGACAGTCTCCAGGAGGTGGTAAATCGCATCCCCAAGAGAGATGTACTTATCGTTGCGGAAGACTGGAATGCTGAAACAGGTGGACAAGAACCTTCAACTAAATATATATTGGAAAATTTGGATTAGGCCATCACTGCGAAAACGGTGACAGGCTAATTAATTTCTCCGATTTCAATCGGTTATCTATCACCAACACGTGTTTTCAGCACCCCAGAAATCATCTTCTGGTACTCCAACGACGGTATAACAGCCCACCAGATCGACTAAATCTTGATACGGTCAGGCTGGATCTCATCAGTAGAAGACTAGATCGTATCGCGGTGCTGAAGCGGGCAACAAAGGTGGCTCTGATCACATGCTGGCTGGTGCGAAACTTCGCCTTCGGCTGACTACTCGTGTTAACACCACTCCTCCAAGTCGCATCAATGTAGGCCCATTATAGTGTTGCGAGAAATCAAAAACACTGATGGATGAAATTGAAACCCGACTGGCAAATGAGTCTACCCCATCGGCCATCGTAGCAGACTCCATTGGTGTGCAGTGGTTCAGGATAAAACTGCAGTAAAACAAGTTGCGCTAAACAAACTTGATACCACGGAACGCTGCCTCAAAGATTGGATATCAGAGGGAACCTGGCCAGGGACGTCCGTCTAGCTGGCCACCGCGATTACCAGCGACTCAGACGGGAAGCAAACCGCTCCGCAAAAGCAGATCGGCGCAGCTACTGGAGCGAAGTAGCGATCAAGATGAAAACCGCAGCCAGTGCATGTCACTTTGGAGATCTCTTTCGCCTCATAAGAGCCGCGTCCGGTAGAAGGCAATCTTTACAACCGGTTCTGCGCTACTCTGGGGGACTGATCTCCGATATCGACGATAGAATGACCAGACGGGTAGAAAATTTTACTCGACTTCTCAGTCATCCGCTGGGTAATTCGGCAGATATTCATCCCGATATGGCCACCCCATACGAGGTCAACTGCAATCCCCGAACGATAGAAGAAATTGCCGCAGTGATCGATCGCTTGAAGTCTGGCAAGGCCCCTGGTGAAGACGGAACCCCGGCAGAAATATATGAGAAATGCCTCCTGGTGGTCATCAAACCGCTTCACTCTCTCTTTCGCTCTACTCGAGAGANTCTCAGTCATCCGCTGGGCAATTCGGCGGATATTCATCCCGATATGGCGTCCCCTTACGAGGTCGACTGTGATCCCCCAACGATGGAAGAAATTACCGCAGTGATCGGTCGCTTGAAGTCTGGTAAGGCCCCTGGTGAAGACGGAATCCCGGCAGAAATATACAACAGATGCCTTCCGGTGGTCATCAAACCACTTCACTCTCTCTTTCGCTCTATTTGGGAGACCAAAACATGTCCAACTGATTGGAACACCTCGGTTTTACTTCCGTTCTCCAAGTAGGGTGACAAGACATTGGCGAGAACTATCGGGGCATCAGTCTGCTAGATGTGGCTGCAAAAGCGTTTGCCCAGCTTGTGCTTAATCGATTTGCTACAGTGAGGTATGCATGTACGCGGTCGAACCAAGGAGGCTTCCAACTCGACAAAGAATGTATCGATCAGATTTTCATCCTAAGGCGAATTCTGGAACACCGATATAAGTTTCAGCGCCACACCGCTCATGTTTCATTGACTTTCGCGCCACATTAGATACGGTGGACCGCGAGTCATTGTGGAAGGTAATACTTGCAGATGGCGTCCTTGCAAAGTTGGTCAATATAGTGAAATCGTATCACACCCAAACCAAAGCTCGTATCCGTGCCTACGGCGACGAGTCTCATCCCTTCGATCTGAGGTCAGGAGTAAGGCAGGTATGCCCGCTATCTCCAGTGTTATTCAACTTCGCCGTTGATTGGATTCTGCGTCAGACAGTGGAAGGTTACAAAGAAGTCCAAGTTTCCGCGGATTGCTGGATTACTGACCTCTAATTCGCCGATAACGTGATGGTGCTTAGAAAGGACCTGACCGCCTTGCAAACAGCTCTCAACCGTATCAAAAGATTTGCCTCTGGGATCGGCTTTGAGGTTAATCCTAACAAAACCAAGATGTTCGCTACTCCACCTAATCAAGCGGAACATCCTCTGCAACTAGATGGTCGGACAATAAAAAACGTATAGGACTTTAAGTACCTTGGGTCCACCATCGTACCCGATGGACAAGCCAACGATGATTTAAAGCGGCACATCGACACTGCCCGAACGGCGTTTCTGCAGCTCCGAACCACCCTGTGGCGCCGGAAAGAGATCAGCCTCAAAACCAAGCTCAGGGTGTTTGCCACAGCAGTTCGACCAGTCCTACTATATGGCTGCGAAACCTGGCCGCTGCGAGCCGAGGACATCCGACGATTGGGGGTCTTCGATCACTGGTGTCTTCGATTCATCTTGAAAGTCAACTGGCGGGACAGGGTCTCAAACTCAGAAATCGATGCCACGTTGCCCGTCTCTCAACGCACATACAACGCCGCCGACTGCAATGTTTGGGCCATGTTCTCCGCAGACCCGACGACACTTTTACGAGTATTGTCTTGGCTCCAACACCGTGTTTTGGCTGGCACCGCCGACAAGGGGGGGGGGGCAAGTAAAAACCTGGCTGGATACTGTATTCGAGACGTCGACCAACTTGGCCTTCGGATGGTGTACTGTACTCGCCGATGGAAAACAAACTGGATCAATATTTGCTAGGATCTTACAGCCAATCGCCAAGCATGGATAGCGGCCATCAGAGACATTCATGGAGCCGGCTTATCCTTTCCACGTCATAGCCTGCCTAGGTCGCTGTTCCTTCCAGCCCCTACCAATGTCTGCAAATAGCGCACGATATGACAGACGTCCAGGCATTCGTAGAACGTGCCCCAGCCACCTAGAAATGGTTTTGCTCAATGGAAGACTATCTGACCCTAACACACGTCTGATCGTTATTCATACGGTGATCCTACCGTACGCGGGCGATGTTGCGCAGACAACGGTTGTACAGTTCGGATAGTCGTCGGAGAGGCCAGGTTTCGCAGCCATAGAGCAACACGGTGCGTACCGTTGCAGAACACACTCCCTTTCAGTTAAGGGGATATGTTGCATCGGCGCCAGAGATACCACAGATTGGCGAACGCTAATATAGCTTTGGTCAAGCGTTGAGAGATCTCGCTCACACCCCCGTCAGCCGTTATGCAACTCCCGAGGTAGAAAAAGCTTTTGATTACTTCCAGGGTGTCATTACCCAACGAAAGTGCAGGAGCGGGTTCCTGCCAATGTCGCGACAACACCATCTATCAAGACGAGACTGCACCTTGACGTTGTGTGATGGCTTGTGCACCTCTATGACCCGACTAGCTACACAGGATGGCTTTTGTCAAGCCCAAGAGCTAATCATACCTGGAAGATCAATGGGTAGAGGTCAAAGTTCAGTCTCCTGGTCATCCAGGTTGGGGGTTCGACTTGAGTCGGCGTCTCAGTCAATAAAACGTGTTGGAGGAATAATTGATCTAAAATAATGGGCTTCCAATCCGCCTTAACCGCTGCCTTGTGGTTAGGTTCTTGTCAGAACTAAAGGTTTCGGTCGAGAACCGTCATTGTTCTCCTGCTTGGTGACTGAACACCCTGGCAGTACCCGTCCATAAAGCTCCAATGAACGCACAAAAAAAGATTTCCATAATGCATCGGTCGTCGCGCAGGATAATCAGGACCGCGCTGCCCATTGCATCGAGCGGGGTGAGTAGTGATAAGTGGACTACTGCTCAGATATCCCAACCTTTGTTTAATTATTTGTCTTCCGTACCCAACC